CACATGAAAATCTGCTTTTTCATCTTTGGGAAGAGGTGGGAAATGAGTCCTCAGGTGACTCGGCTACCAATGGTGACTTGGATCATGTGAGCCAAGGAAGACAGTGAGATATGACAGAGATAAGACAATAGAGAAGAACAGAATGAAGACCTTGATTCAGATGAGGAAGAAAATGGTAATGTAAATAAACTAGTCAAATGCTGCAAAACTAGTTAAATTTGACTAGTCAAAAGCTGCAAAATGGTCATGTATACCTGAACAAGCCAACGTTAGACCTAGGTCAGAAAAGGTTACCAGGTTCTTGCCAGGGGTGACAGCTGCTGGGTGGAATGCCAGTGCTGCGATTCATGTTGGGAATTATTTGTAATGGATGATCTGTTGCAAGACGTTTTAAAATACACTAATAATGAAATACAAGAAAACATGCTATATGCATCAATAGTAATACTTAAAAATATACCTGTCATGACCCTCACTATCTGAACTAAAAGCCTTCATAGCAGGACTATATCATTCTAATGGTCAGAATCTAAAGGATTTACAGAAAAGCAACAGACTGTGGTGTCGAGATTTTTAGAACAGTGACACTCAAGAGATTTGGTTTCTTTCAAAATTGCCCATGTCTTAAGGACAAAAAGACTTACCAAGAAAGAAAAAAGAAAAAAATCTAACACTGTGGCTGATATTCACTCATTTGTGAAAGTTTGGTTTCCAATTGTCAAGTAATTTACACACTGTCTGGGTACATGACAACTGACAAACAACTTGCATCATTTCATGGTTGTTGAAGGTTTCAGCAATATATGCCAAATAAACCTTCCAAATATGAATAAAAATATATGCCCTGGTAGACGCAAAGACATAGTATCCCTAGAATTTAGAAATTTATCCTGGAACTCAGCCACCAGGTCTTTCTTTGTGCAGTAATAAACCATATAATGTGAACACACTTGTTGCACTTATTTCAAAAAGTAGCCCAAATGTCACATTCCACAATTGGTTCACAAGTTACCCACTGATGTTATATTTTCTTAAAAAAAGAACAGGAACTGTTCTCAAGAATAAAGCCTCCACTTTCCTGAAAAAATGTGCAAGTTCACAATAGGCAAATGTACAGTGCAATCTTTGGATTTCAGAAAGACATAAAACTGGCCTCACATATGATGAAGAGAAACAAAGTAGTACTGATACTGTCAACATTACCCCATGATAGTAAGACTGATAGTGAAGCTGGGTGCAGTGCTGCACACCTGTAATCCCAGCACTCAAAAGGCTGAGGCAGGAGGAGCCTGTGAGTTCAAAGTCAGCCTGTACTACATAGTGAGTTCCACATTAGCCTGGAGTACCTAGCGAGACCCTGTCTCAAAAGACCAAACAACAACAAAAACATTGATACTGAATCTTCAATACAAATGAAGCCAGAAACGGTCACATTTTACAACAAAATGAAAGGTGGAATAGATGTTGCTGAGGAGGTATTCAGCAACTATGATGTCAGTCAAAACACAAAGCATGGGTCAATGGTTGTTTTACTGGGTCCTAAACATGTCAGGCATAAATAGTTTCATAATTTACAAAGAAAATAACAAGCACAAAATATTACAGAGAAATTTTCTTAGAGGATTGGGAATGGAATTGATAAATGATAAATTATAACACAGGAAGAACAATATGTACCTGCCCAAAGAACTCTACAAAGGAATTCCAGAGCAGACTGGTGGACAAACAGGTGAGACATCACAAGAATCTTCTAAGAAAACAGGAAGACCAGCAAGATGTCAAGTATGTCCCACCAAAAAAGATAGGAAAACAAAACATGCACTATTAGTGTGTGCAATACTTGTGTATGGAACATGCTGTTCTCATGTGTGAAAACTACCTTAGGTGTGATATGTGAAGTAAAGATTATTTTTGTGGTAGAGTTTTATTTGTATTTTCATTGTAGTTCACATAGGAATTTATTTCTGATGTTATTTTTTAGATCTTGTAAGCAGGTAAACAGTTGACGTAGAAAATGTTGATTTTTACCATTACAGCAAAGAATCAGAATCCATGAAAAGGTACCAAACAGAAATTCAGGACATTAAAAATTCTTTTGGAAGTATGGCCAGCAGAAGTGAACTGCATAGGCAGACTCTAACTCAAAAAAAAAAAAAAAAAAAATCATAACATGAGGTAGGTTGCCACCAATTCCCCTAGGAGTACTAATGAAAAAGTTCTAAGTAAAATATCAGTAAATTAAACATGGCATAGGCTTCATGTCAGCAAAAACATGATATGAAGTAATCCACTTATGCCACTCGATTACAGAAGAGATTTTTAAAGAATTTTCTCAAAAACCATTATTTATTCATCTTTGATTTAAATAAAGCTCTTTGTGAACTAAGAAGATATTTTCCCAGCTTCATGATAAATAGATTAGCTGAGAATTTTGGTTCTTTGTATTATTCAAAGGCTTTTACAATGATTGGGTATTATCAGAGAATAAATTCTTTTTCACTGTAAAATGAAAAAAGAAAAGTAATCAGAGTGGGAGTAAACTGAAGGTATCTTGAAAGCTGATAAAGGTGGGGCTAAATATTCAAACTGGAGATGGAAGAACTAGCATAACATCATATTAAAATTTTTCATAATTAACACAAAGCAATTTATGTACAAAACCCATTAATCTTTAGGCAATATTGTTATTAGTGAGAAACAAATTCCAAATATTTACCTGATGATTAGTGAAACTGAGCTAAAAGGAGACTGCACCAGTATGTCTTCCATCAACTCAGAAGGTAAGCAAAAGGTTTAAAATCCTTGCCAA